GAGCGCGCGGGACGGGCCTGCCCATTTTGGGCCGCCCCGCGCGCGCGAGCCGCGGCCGCGCTCGGAGACAGCTCGCTAGCGCGCGAGCGGGAGAATCATTATCATCATCATCATCATCATCATCATCATCATCATCATCGTCATCGTCATCGTCATCATCATCATCATCATCATCCTTATTCTCATGCCCATCCTGATCCTCATGCTTATCCTCGTCCCCCTCCCCCTCCTCCTCCTCCCCCTCCTCGTCCCCCTCCTCCCTGATACTCCCATGGGTGCCGGCTCAGACCACCCTCCCTCCGGTGAGGCTCACGGCCGCGGACGGGCCGATGCGGTACGAGACGTGCCGGGACTTCGACCCCCCCCTGAAGGCCCAGCGCCGCGCCGCAGTGGCCACGGCTTTCGTCCTGCTGCCAAGCCAACCTCTTCCTCCTCCTGCTCCTCTTCCTCTTCCTCCTTTTCCCCTTCCTTTTCCTCTTCCTCCTCTTCCTCTTCCTCCTCTTCCTCCTCTTACTCTTTCTCCTCCTCTTCCTGCCGGGCAAGCTTTTTATCCTCCTCTTCCTCTGTCTCCTCCTCCTGCTCCTCCTCCTCCTCCTCCTCCTTTTCTCGAGAGGGCCGCGGAGCGGCCTGGGGTCATCCTCTCGAGAGGGCGGCGGAGACTGCGTCTCGGAGTTTCGGGCTCCCGTCCTCCGATGCCAGAGGCGCCGTGGAAATGGCTGAAACAGTGCAGGCGCCCCCTCCCAGAAAATCCGAGACGCAGGGGACAGGGATGTGCGTCGTGCCCGCACTCCCACCCGGGACACGGACCCGAGACGACCGCAATCGCGGGCACCGCTCTGCATGTGCATTTCGTTCTCTCCCCTGCTCGGCTCCTCTCCTGTCGGGCTCAGGCCACGCGCGGCGTCTGCGCGTGGCCTGGGCCCACTGCCGGCCGCCTCGCGGCGAGTTCGCCGTCCGCACAGGTCCTCGGAGGTCGTCGCGGGTCCGAGTCCTGTGGGGGCTTTCTCGCCCTTTCATTCTTTTTGTTTTCTTGTGTTTTTTTTATTTTTTTTTTTTCTCTTTTTTTTTTTTGTTTTTTTCGGATGCCTCTCCTAGCAGCTTTCTGCGCCTCGGCGATAGCTTTCGGTTCGGGCGTGCCCCTCTACAGGAGGAATATTCAAACATAAATAGTCGCGTTCTTTTTGACCACTTTTCTTATGATATTTTCGAGCATTTCTTTGATGCTTCGCTCAAATCCGCCCGCAGTGGGACATGCCCGATCTAGCGATAGCTTGCCAGAGGTGCCCGGAGCGTCCCGAGCGGCCGCTGGAGGCCCGGGGTGCCAGGCTCTAAACGTATAGACTTCGACCACCTCCCTCGCCCCCCTCCCATCTCCCAAGAAGGAGGAGAGCTGAGCATTCTCTTAGGGTGGTGGGCTCGGGGTGAAGTCCATGTGGGCTCTTGTACCTCGAGAATCAACCCGTCTTGTGACTCACCTCTTGCAGATTCAAGCCTCGAAAACCAATCGAAACTGCATCTCAAATTTCACCCTTTGCCCTCCACACAAAATAAAGCTCAGGCGAGGAAGAAGATGCTGGAGGAGTGGAGGGGGGACGAAAGTGGTGGTGGTGGTGGTGTATACTCTTGGCACCCGCATTCGGTTATGACCCGAAGGCTGACGTTTTCTGTTCTCGCGGTGGCTGGCGCGCCTGTCCCTGCACGCGTCGGACGGGCTTCTCGCCCCCGCCGCTCGCCAAGCAGACTGGCCTCATCCACAGCGTTGGGCGCAGTGAGCGCCAACGTGCCCCCGTTATGACGGGGCAATCACGCGGGGCGGCTTCCGCGGTGGCCTTGATAATGTAGCGATCTGGGTGGGCGTCTGCGGCACGGATCCGAGGCTGGTGCTGACCTGCGCCGGTCCCGTCGTCATAGCCAGAGCCTTCGCAGGGTCGGTGTCATATGGGGCTTGGCTCTTGCTTGGCAGCGGCCGCGGTGTCAGCGACCCCGCTGGCGGCGTTGTCGGCGTTGGGCTGGTTGTTGTGGCTGGCCCTGGCCGACCATGTGCTTGTGGGGCTGTCTGTACTTGCAGTGCTGGTGGTTCTCTCTGATGCTGCACTGGTCGCTGTTGGCTGGGTGCCTGACGAGTGGCCGCGGTGACCAGCAGACGGACGTTGCGCATGTCCTGGGTGCTGTGCTGGTGCGCGCAGCATGCCCAGCCGGGTGAGCAGCGGACCGGATGGGCCTCGACAGCTGCCCAGGTCGGGCCTTGCTGGGTGGGGTCTCGTAGGGCATCTTGGCGTGCTCGGTCGCCTGCACCTCGTCCGCCATGGCGTGGCGGGGGACGAGCTGCAGGGCAGGTAGCAGGGGGGGAGCAGGGAGCAGGAGGAGAGGAGGGAGGAGCAGGGGGAGCAGGCGAGGTGCAAGGGGGAGGGGGGAGGGATGGGGGGGCCAGGATGCAGCTCCTGGCAGGTTCTATTCAGCACTGGTGTTGGTTTTTGCGTTGGCGAAAGCCGGCCAGATCCGGCATAATCCCGTGCTGTCCGGCATGATCCCGTTTGATCCGGTTGAGTTTCGGGCTTTATTCAGTCCAAGCTGGCTTAGTGGCTCCTTGAGTGGAGCTCTTCATCGCTCTCACGAAAACCTCCCAGGAGTTTCTTGCTGAGAGGGGGAGGGGAGGAAGAGGGGAGGAGGAGCAGGGGGCGGAGGGGTACCCAGACATTTTTACGTCGCAGCGCGGCAGAGGCAGTCCGCACGCGCGCTCGGGCAAGCCGGGTCACGGCAACGCGATTTGCCCGGATGCAAGAGGGGACGGAGAGGGAAGGGAGGAGCGGCCGCGGGAGGAAGGGCAGGAACTGATGCGCTCACGCAGCAGGAGCCGTGGCGGGGCGCCCGCGGCGTCGAGGGGGACCTCGACATGCGATGTCTTGCTTTTCCTGTGCGGGGTCCCCGGAGGTCTAGATCCAGGCCCCCGAGGGCCGAAAGCGACCGAGAAGCCTCCTGCCGTGATCCTTGTGCGAGGCGAGCAGGCCTGGGGAGGGAGGGGAGGAGCCGGGGGCCTGGGCCTTCCGCTTCCCCCCCCCTGGCCGCGGCGAGGCCGGGGACAAGCTGGAGGTGAAGGTCGGCGAGATCACCACGGGGAGCACCCGTCGCCTCGCCTGGCGGCCGGCTCCGCCGACGGCTCCTGGCCCCGCCTCCCCTCCAGCGCCACCGTAGTCATTAGGGGCAGCGCGGGGGGGGGGGAACGTGCTCAAGGGGGGGGTGCATCGGCCCCCAGCTCTCAAGGGAACGGATTCGCGAATTTTGTTGGTGAGTGCACGCATCCGGGCGGATGAGCTATCGGGGGCTCGATCACCGCTCTATCGTGTGCGCAGCGGCGCGTGATTGCATCGATCAAAGCTGCGACGCGATGTCCGTGATGCCAGGAAGTCGAGGCGGGAGCTTCTCCATAACCACCGCCAAGGGCCGGTCTTCGGGAGCAGTGGCAGACGGTTGATGTGGATGCATTTGCCTCCCCACGGGGCCTGAATCTATCCACGCCCACCGCCTGCTAGGGTCCCCGAGTATCGATCCTCCTAGGCGGTGGCGCTCCCATGCGGTGGTGATGGATAATCTCCCGCCTCGCGGCAAAGCAACTGCGATCCGCAGTTGTGCTCGCAGCTGCCTGTGGGAGCGCCCCCCCCCCCCTCCCCCCGCAGCCTTGCGCGCGCGCGTTCGCGCGCCCCTGGCCCCTGGCCCCTGCAGGCCGCACCGGCAGCGTGGGCGGAGCGGAGGGGAGGTCGGCGGCGATATCCGAACCCTGCCCCCGCCGGTAAAAATAATCGGGCAACCAGGTTGGCGGCGGGGGCATGGGGTCGGGATTCGTCGGACGCGTGGCGAAATTGAGCCGCAGCAGGAACAACTCGGGATGAAGAACTGGCCTTGCGATGTTCCGATCTATTTTTGCCTTCACCACCAGAAAGAATTCGAGCACCAAGGAAGTACCGAAACTGGAGAATGTGCACGTGTCGGGCCCTGGGAGGTGATGCTCGTTCGACATCTCGCCATCGTGCCAGGCAGACACTGTTTCGGCCTTTTCCCTGGGCGCTGGAGAGCCATTTCCTGGACGTGGCCCTTCAGTACCATGGGACCAGCATAGAGCTGCCCCAGGCGCGTCCAGGAGCCTTGATTCCCGAGCCTCCTCACCCCGTGCAGGGTCCTTCTCGAGCACGCCGGGCCGATTCGACCTCGATTTCGGCCGGCCCGCTCCGATTCGACTCCGATCTTCCGACGACCCGATGCGGCCCGATGTTCGCATGGCCCTAAGTCTGACCTTTTTCAAGGGCCAGCATAGAGCTGGCCCTGGGGAAGGGTCGAGACTCCCGGGGTCCGTCCGCGTGCTGAAAACATCAAGACGTCGGATGTCTGGGCTCGGGTTCCCGCAGGGCCCCGCGGACGGGAGGGACGGCTGATGGTGAGGGGGACTGGCTGGTCGGGGGGCTGGGCAGGGAGGGGGGGCGCCGTGGCGGGGCGGCGGCGGCGAGGGACCGGATGGGAAGGGGGTGGCGGGAAGAGGGGGGAGGCGGAATGAGGGGGAAGAGGGCGGCGATCAGGCCGGAGTGGAGGGGGGGGGAGGGGCAGGGGCAGAGGCAGGGGAGCGAAAGGATGGAAGATGGAAGATAGGCTCTGGAACGTCCGCGGCGCCCCATGCATCCTTCAGTCCTGCGGGCTCTCTGAGATCCCCGGCTTGCTCCCATCCGATTTTCTCGTCGTCCCGCCTTCGTCCTGTGTCTGGCGTGGCAGAGGGGGGTGATGATCAGGTGTGCGTGTGTGTGTGTGTGTGTGTGTGCGTGTGAGTGTGTGTGTGTGTGTGTCGTTCCTTTTCCTGTGCAAGCTCCTCGGCACCGCCTGCACCCCGGCCCGCCCTCCGGCCGCCTGAGGCCCCGCCCGCCTGTGCCCTGTCTCCCCAATTAGAGCTGTGCGTAGCCTGCCTAGCTTTTACCGGAAGAGGCTCGCTCTCGCCCCGCAGACCAAAAGTGTGTGTGTGTGTGTGTGTGTGAGTGCGTGTATGTGTGTGTGTGTGTGTGTGTGTGTGCGTTCGTGCGTGTGTGTGTGAGTGTTTTTTTTTTTGTGTGTGTGTGTGCTTGTGTGCGTGTTTGTGTGTGTGTGTGTGTGTGTGTGTGTGTGTCTGTGTGTGTGTGTGCGTGTGTGCGTGTGTGTGTGCGTGTGTGTATGTAGAGAGAGAGATATCACGGGCCATCCTCCTTCCCCTTCCAGCGCGTCCCCTCGCTCCCCCCTCGTCCGCGCACGTGCCTCGAGCGCCAGGCGCGCGAGCCCCTCTCTTCGGTTGCCACTCTTGGGCTGTTGAGATTCGGCGTCGGCGCCGGTAGTTTTCCGTGGTCGAAAACCAACCTGATCCGGCATCATCCCAATTAGATGTGGTTGATTTCTCTTTCATCCCGCTTCCATTACGGTTCACTCCCAGGTGTAATTCGGGCTAATCCAGCTCACTTCGGATGGGGCTTGGACGAGGATATATCCGCTCCCCAGCGTTCCGGAACGCTCTCAGAGCGCTCTGGAAAGCTTTGAGAAGGGCCGCGGCGCCCGAGACATCTTCCGGAGCCGCCAGATCTGAGAGATTCTTGAATTTTTCCCTGGCCTGGCTTCGTCTTAGCACTGGCCCTCTCATCGGGCCTCAGTGCCCTTCGAATCTTTCTTACAGTGCCGTTTTTAATACATGCTCCGCGTGCGGATCATGTATTTAAAATGCAGGGATTTAGTACTTAAAAGCCACGACGAATTCAAGCATAAACTTATTCATGAACTCATCATGCATTTTAATTCCTATTTTTTTAAATCCCATGGATTAAAAACTGCCCTGTACGAAGCCCTCCCAGAAGCTGCCTCCCGGCCTGTCTCTGCCCCTTGTCCGCCTGCGTGCCTCGGGACGCGCGCGCGCGCTCGTCGCTTCCGCCTCCCCCCGGGGCCGCGCGCGGAGGGGGGCCAGGGGGAGGGGGGAAGGCCTCTGAGAGGTGAGCGTTTTTGGTCGTTCCCCCCCCCCCTTCCCCAGGGTAGCGTTTGCTACCTGGGCCAGACTCCACCTCCTCCTCCTCCGACTCCTTTTCCTCCTCCTTTTCCTCCTCCTAGTTTTGAGTTGGTTGTGGAGACGGCCAACGTCACCTCCTGGGGATCGGCTAAACCCTGGCTGCAACGTTCGGGAGCACATATTATCTTGCTGCAACAACACAAGTTTGTCCTCGACGACCAAATTGAAGCCAGCTGGGCCCTCAAGCAAGGCTGGAAGTCTCGGTTCGTGGCGGCTGAGGCTAGAGTTGGCTCAGGAGCTTCGGGCGGGGTGGCGATCTTCGTCCGTTCGTTTCTGGGATGCTACGACCTGGAGGCTGGCCACAAAATCTACACAGCAAGAGCTGTCGGTTGTTGGGTGCAGATTCCTGGGGGTGAATCGATACTTTGCATCTCGACCTACTTGCGTGATTCCGAGGGGCTCTCCGCTGAGAACCTCAAGATTTTGGCCACGATCGGAGCGGTGGCACAGAGCTACCGCACGCCTCACATCATCGGAGGCGATTTCAACATGGAGCCAGCTGAGCTACATGAGTGTGACTTGGCGGGCAGTTTATCCAGTTGCATAGTGTATCCAGAAGTGAAGGGTACTTGTGCAACGACGGCCTCGAGCACAGTCAGGCTGTTAGACTACATGGTGGTCTCGGGGGGCCTGTCGAAAGGTATCCAGTCCACCAGGGTGATTTTGGAGAGCGATTTGAAGACTCACGCGCCCGTCCAAATTAAGTTCCACCCTAACCCTCGCGGACATTAAGTTCCTCACGTTCTCCAAGCCTCCAGTGATACCCGCGCAGCGCCCTATAGGTCCTTGCCCTGAGCCCCCGTCTTGGGACGACGCCCTGGACTGCGCCACTTACGGACTCTTACTGGTTCGAGAAGGAGCCCCACGTAATAAGATTCAGAGGCACATGAATTTGGCCTACAAGATTTGGGCCAACACAGCGGAGAAGGAGTTGATTGCCATCCGACAGATCGACATCCCGCTGTTAGGTACCAGGGGCAGGTTGCCTAAGTTGATTTGGAGGTCAGCTTTAGAAGTAGACAAAAGGAAAGACGTCAGGCAACCTGCTCTGTTCACGCTGCGCTGGTTGGAGAGCACGTTCCGTCTTTTTATCAGCCTGCTGCGCGCCCTGGACGTTTCGGCGGCGACGGAGGCTCCAGCTTCCGAAGTTGGGGCAACGGCATGGTTGCCGCAATCCGATATGTTTTTTTGAGAGCCAAGTTCCGCCAGGATCGACAGTCCCCACGCCAACGCGCTCTCGTGTGCTCCGCCAGCTTCGTAGTGTACGTGCTTGCCTAGCCGATCCTCCGGCCTGCATCGGCCGACATTTGGAAGAGTTCTCTGAGATTTATGACAGCGTCAAAAGCTTTATCCAGGTTCAGGACATTGATAAGGTCTTCGAGGTCTCGGAGGCTCTTGGGGATCTAGATTTGGGCTGCAGCATCTTAGATAAGATCTCCGAGGACTTAGGGGCGTATTCTTTGAAGGCTAAGTCGGAGGCTCAGAAGTCTTGGAAGGCCTGGTTATGCGACGGGGTTGATAAAGGGGCGGGGGGAGCTCATGCGTGGACTCGTCTCCCCAAAGCGTGGCAACGCACCGCCACCCTCTCGGCCCAAGGGGCTGTGCTGGCGGACCCCAAATCGTTGTTGGCCTCTGAGGCCCAGAAGTTTGGTAAGCTTTGGCAGGCCTCCAAGACGCCAGAATTGCCCGAACAAGTTGAGTACATTCAGCCCCTCGATTTTGTGCCGCCACCCGAGATGAGGGCAGTATCGCATCGGTATAAGCTCACGTCCGCGACCTCCGTGGACGGCTTCCACATGCGCCACTTCAGCAGCATCGCGGATCAAGGTTTGCTGGCCTTGATGTCTTTATATGCTGTCATGGAGGCGACCTCCATCCTGCCGAATCAGGTCCGCACGATTGTGGTCCCGCTTTTAGCCAAACCTGCAGGAGGTTGGAGACCTATTGGTTTGTTCAGCAGTTTTTATCGCTTTTGGGGCAAGCTACGAAGACCCATAGCGGCGTCTTGGGAGGCATCCAATTGGCGCCCGTACTTGGCGGCGGGGCCCTTCTCGGGAGCTTCGGACGTGGTCTGGAGGCAAGCGGTGAGGTCTGAAAAAGCTGTTCGTCCAGGGCCCCGAACGCAGTCCAATAATCTCAAGGGAACGCCCAAGAAAGAAGAAAAGACGGTGGCCTGCACGGTTCGCTGGGGCCTCCTGAAGTACTACGAGACTATTGTGCTGCCCATCCTGGGAGATAGATGCGAGCTGCTCGCGTTACCGGAGCAGCTGTGCCGTGTAAGCATCGCCGCGTACAAGGGCCCACGCTTCTTGGCGATGGCCAGCATGGTGCATGGCCCTCACCTTGCCTTTTCAGGAGTTATCGCAGGCTGTTCTTTGGCGACCACTTATATTAGAGCGTACGCCATCCCAACAGTAGACTGCATCACTTTCCTGCTCCGCACCTCCTTGGACATATATATTGATGATTATGGCATGTCGTCCACAGGTAAGCCCAAGCAAGTAGCACATGATATTGTTCACACGGCGGCGCAGCTATACGTTGGGCTCACAGAAGAGATGTGCGTGCAAGTTGCCCAGGACAAAGCGTCGGTCATATGTTCATCCCACAAGACTGGAGAAGCCATCAGGCAAGCTCTAGGCGAGTACGGCGGTGCCTCTTATGTGGAATCTGCAGTGAACTTGGGCATAGATGATACGGCAGGGAAGAGCAGGAGGAGAAAGGGACGAGGACAGAAACAGCAGAAGAGAGCAGCCGTTTTCAAGAAGAGAACGAAACGTTTTAAGCGAGTTAAGCAGGTGCTGGGCAAGCACCGCCGAAGTATTTTCACGAGTGGACCTCCTAGCAGGCCTGTCTTATGGAGCGGAAGTGCACGGCCAGTCTGATCACGAGTTGGCGACTGCTCGTCGTGCTGTGGGCTCTGTCTTACGGCCGTCTGCAGGCATGAGGTCCCTCACTTCTTTGTTGTTGTTGCACGGAGATCCGTCGTGGTATGGATCAGTGGCACCGGTGGTGCGCTGCGCTAAGGAGGTCTTCTCGCGCCAAGTTAGATCCTCGCCTAATACTTTGTCGTTCGGAGTTCTGAGGGAAGTCTGGGAGTCGGCGTGCGGGGTCCCCAAAGAAGAGCTCGCCTGGAAGAAGGTCACGGGCCCCCTTTCAGCGCTCCGCCTCAGCCTCCTCAGGATCCAATGGGACATGAAGAGTTTCTGCGTCTTGGTCAACGATTTCGGAGAAGACGTATTTTTAACGACCTGTTCCCCAGCGCTCATTAAGCAGATGTTGCATGATGGAGTTTTGAGACAGCTAGAAAGAGATGCTGGTAGAGCTCACGATGTACCTTGTCGAGTATGTTATGATGTGGTATCGTCTCAGCTTCGTTCGTCACGGTATACATACTACGAGAAGGGTTGCATCAAGTCGCTGGTGTGCGGAGCTGTGTGGACCAACGGGCGTGCGCTCGACTTGGGGTACGCTCTGCCATCAGCTCAGTGTCCTTTAGGCTGCGGAGCGCGGGACACGATCTTCCACCGTCTGTGGGAGTGCAGTGCGGTCGACGACGATAGGAGGGAATTGATCGACGATGACGAATTGATCACCCTGGCTAGGAGCATCGATCGATCGGACGCTAAGGAAACACTCCTTTTCTCTAAGGGGCTGTTTGAACACCCTGGAGATGTACTACCACGCCCACGGCAGCAAGGTGGGATTATCACTCACACGCCTGAAGGAACAGAAGACGTCGTCGATCCTGGCCAGGTCAAGGGATATATTTTCATGGGCGGGTCCTGCACCAGACACCCTATCAAGGAACTGAGTAGGGCCACTTTGGGCTATGTACAGGTCACCCAGGATGCTCAGGAGACCTGCTCGGTGTGTGGGCCTATATGGGCTCCGCTCCCTCAGACCCCCCAAGCTGGGGAGTTTGGAGCCCTCGCCATGGTTTCACAGAACCTTGGAGGCCCCTCGGAAGGTTTTTCGGATTGCGCGAATGTGGTCAGCACCTTCGCGCTTCCTCCTGAGGCCAGGTTCTCCTATAAGAAAATGTATTCAGGCACCATGTTATTGGCCCAGTCGTGTGACCTGTCTGCTGTTAGGAAAGTAAAAGCACATGTGGCTGACAGTCCTGATTTAACTGCCCAGCAGCGCTGGGAGAAATTCGGAAATGATGCTGCCGATCGCGCCGCACGTCAAGGACTGCGCGCCCGCCCCGCAGGCTCCAAGGCAGAGCTTGATGAAATAGACAGGAAAGTTAAGGTTTCTCGTGCGATTTGCAGGCTTGCGGCCCGTTTACTGCCCAAGTGGCCCGCCCTGGATCTCACGGGAGTCCACTTGAACCCCAGAGAGCCTCGCCAGGAGCCCGCTGGCCCTGAAACTTTTGAGCACGAATGGGAATGGCATGGGTCATACTGGAGGTGTGCTGTATGCCTCAAGATACGGCGGCCCAGCCCTGATTTCGTCTTTGGTAAGAGCGACGTGCCCTCAACAGGAGGTTGTACTGGGAAGGTGCCAGAGTCGTTGCTCCAGGTGGCCGCCAGAGGCCACAAGTTGTTGAGTTTCGATTGCAGCGATCGGTCTGAGCTTTTCATGTGCGTAAGGTGTAAAGCTATATCTACGTTGGGCCCCCTCGCGCTGCTGGCTAAGGTTTGTAGGGCCCCAACGAGGAACAATTTAGAGCGATGGAAGTATAGAGTGCTCAAGGGACGCCATCCCAAGATCGACGGAGTCGTGATTGAGGCGTCTCCTGAGGACCTACAGGCGTTGGGCGAGGATCCCCAGCAGCACGATCCTGTCGTCGACCAGTCGTCCTCGTCGTCGGCCATCGTCTCAGCTGCTGGGGACAACGAAGTCCAGCATCCAAGGCATTTTGCCGATCAGGCTCCAGTGGTGGAGCCCCTTCTTGAGTGCGCCCAGCAGAGTGATCGAGTCGTCGACCCGTCGTCGTCGTCTGGCACCATCGGAGTTGCGGGCCCTCTTGAAGATGTTTCTCTTTTTGCCCCACAAGCAGGGCCAGGTGCAGAGCAGGGCGCCTTTCCCCACGAAGAGGGTGAGGTGTCCGAGCGCGAGCAGTTGAGGCGTGTGATCACGTCTATTCGCGAAGAGGAGGACGAGGCTCCCTTGCAAGCTGCTCGTGTAAGCACCGCGGAGTCTGGTGACTCCGATTGACTTCTGGCGCCCCCTGTGTCCGTGCGGCCCGTCCCGCTCAGTCACCGCCAGAGGTCCTCTTTTCAACTGGCACCAACGCTGTGTCAGTCATGGTCGTGTCAAACAATAAAAAATCCAGTCAACCCTAACGGGCGTGCTGGGGGGAGTGGCCTGGACCCCCCCCCTGCATGCTGTGCGTGGGGGCCTCTGGGGCGCCTGGGGCATCCTGGTTGCCTCTTGGGGCGGAAGGCTCGGATTTCCAGGTCGCGCTCCCCCTCGTGGGGCTGACTCGAGGCCCTCTTGGGCCGTCGTCGGCGCGCGCCGCCAACCCCCTCTTCCGCGCACCCGACCTCGAGGAGCGCCCCCTGGGGGGAGCGCGCGGGGCGGCGGGAGGCCCCGGTCTTGCAACGGCCAGGCGCTCCTCCTCTTCCTCCTCCTCCTCCTCCTCCTCCTCCCTTCTCCTCCTCCTCCTCCTCCTCCCTCCTCCTCCTCTTCGTCGTCGTCGTCGTCCTCCTCCTCCTCCTCCTTCTCCTCCCTTCTCCTTCTCCTCCTCTTCGTCGTCCTCCTCCTCCTCCTCCTTCTCCTCCTCCTCTTCGTCGTCCTCCTCCCTTTCCTCGTCGTCCTCCGCCTCCGCCTCCGCCTCCGCCTCCGCTTCCGCGCGGATAAGAAAAACACAGCGTGGGGAGGCAGACGCGGCGCGGACGCGGCGCGCCCCTCCTCTGGCGAGGACCTTCGCCGTGTCGGACCTGCCGGCGAACGACGCGGTGGCCGCGGGGCCCGCCTGCAGCCGCTCTGGGGCCTCCGAGCGGCGCGTGGAAGCGAAAGGTCAAGCTGGGCATGTCCCTCTACAGGGGGAACGTTCGAGAATAGTAAAAAACATAGCTAGGTGACGGTTTTTCGTGCTTTTTCGACTATTTAATGTTTTTGTCACAGCAAGACCTGAGCGTAAGATCCAAACCCGACCTGAGCGTAAGACTAAGCGTAAGACCTAAGCCCGCCTGGAGGAGGACATGCCCGACCTAAGCGTAAGGCTCGAGTGCGCTGGAGCTCGGGCTTGGCCGACATTTTTGACGAACGCGTCCGCGGGAGCTCGCGTCAAGTCTCAGGCTGGGCCAGCGTCATTTTCCTGACAGCCCCGTCAGGCCAACCCGAGTCCCCCGAACCCGAGCCTTTCGCGTCTCCCCGAGAGCGATGCGGTGGTCACGCCGTGTGATGAGTCAGTGGGGGGGGTTGTCCTACGAGGATGTCTCGGGCGACGAGGGCCTGTGAGGTCCGCGCCGTGCGGTGACGGGCCGTGCGGTGACGGGCCGTGCGGTGAGGTCTGGGGGGATGCCGGGGTCACCGCGCGGTCTGTCACCGCGCCGTGTTTGACTCCCAAAGCGCTTGCGAACCCTGCCAAGGAGGAGCCAGCCGACGCTGTGGTTTCGGCTGCCCCCCGTGGGGGGTCCTATTCATCGTCGCCGAAACCGTCTCACCCCCGGTCGGGTGGGACAGGGACATCCTGCTCTCTCGGCGTATCCGCGTTGGGTGGGGGCGGGTGCTGCGGAGCCCGACGGAGGCGGCACCTCAGGGGGTGGGTATACATGCTGGGCTCGTGCCGTGTCGAGGCGGCGACCCCGGCGCGGGCGTTGGAGGTTGCGCGCCGCCATTGGCCCCGAATCGGCTGATATCGAACGATCAGCGCGATCAGACATTCGCGATCGTCCGAGGTGGAACGCTCACGCGGTGTCCGAAGCCAACGCCGAAGTCGTCACGGCGTGCATCTGCCCCAGGACGGCTGGCGGGCCGTGGTCTCCCCAAGGTGGCTTCGGGGGGGGATTGGTTTAATACTCGGGGCGCCCGGCGGCAGACATCCGCTGCAGTCCAAGCCGCCAGCGAGAAACGGCTTGTTTTGGCGCTGCGAGGCTCCCCGCTGGTGGTGGTCGGCCCCCGTGCGCTAGGCAATTGGGTTCGCGCGTAGCCCGCCCGACCTCTGACGCTGCTGGCGCGCTCGCCTGCGGCCGCGACGACAAAGGATCCCCTTACCAGCCTGGAACTTATCCCTATCTCTATGCTGGGCATCTCCTCATCACGATGCCAACCGTAGGGGTTCCCTTATTTTTCGAGGGCGAATCCCTGAGATTGTCATCGCCTTTTGACGTGTCAATCTTAGGGATAGGGATACGTTCGAGGCTGGTAATCCCTGCCGGCCCGCCCATCAGCGATGCCCGCCATCGGCTCGTGCCGTGCCGGGGCGGCGGCGGCCCCAGCGCGGGCACCCCAGGCGGAACGCCGATTTTCTGGCCCGGAGGGGTCGGCCGATATCGAAGGATCTTGGCTGCCAGAAAGCAGTGGTCGTTTCGTTAGCGAGCGAAGAACGGTAGAACATTTTTTTTTTTCGCTGTCGGGGGCGCCTGTGCCTGGGCGGCTGGAAAGTTTATACCCCTACGGTGCCACCGTAAGGGTATAACCTTTCCAGCCGCCCAGGGACAGGCGCCCCCGACAGCGAAAAAGTTTATTTTATACCGTTCTTCGCCCGTTAATTTAGGGCCGAAGGGTCACTGCGCGTCAGGAGCCAACCAGAGGCGAGGTGCCTTGCAGGGTCCATTCCGATCCGCTCTGGTTCGGTATCGGTTTTCTGGCCGGCCCGCTTCAGTCATTTCCGTTATTCCGACGATGTGCGGCGGCCCGATTTTTGCATCTCTCAGGTGTACATCCTGGTGCAGACGATCCGATTTCATGTCGACTCCGTGCCGATGCAGCCCAATCCGACGGACGTTTCGATTCTAGGAGGCGCAGGATGAGAAGGATAATGAGAAGGAGAAGGAGAACAAGGAGAAGGAGGATGACGATGAGAAAGGAGATGATGGAATAAACCCTCCTTCCAAGCTTCCTCTTCGTAGGCCCTTACAACGGTTCATGCCCACTGAGAGAACTGCCTCGTTGGAAGGCAACTGTTGAAGACCCTGACACATGCCCAAACATTGTTCTGGGGATTCCAATCCAACGCCACCTATCAACCTGACTATTGCGTCTTGACGATCCGGAATCGTGACAGACCGCCAGCCGTTCCTGGGACCTCAACATCGCGAATCAACGTAAATGGTGACCCTTAGAATCCGGAATCCTTCCAAAACGCAGTTTCTGGTACGCTCACCATGGAATTCCGTGAAACTTTTGCAAGTTTTAGCACAGATATACGCGGTGCTAAGGCGAGAGCCACATTTTGAAAACGGCCCGCCCTCAATCCGTGAAGCTCCTGCAAATGCTTAAAGCGAATGTGCGCGGCGCTGCGCTACGGCGAGCGCCACCTTTTTGAAAACCACCACCCTCAATCCGTGTAGCTCTTGCCATTTTTACAGCGAATGTGTGCGGCTCTAAGGCGCGAGCCGCATTTAGAAAACCGCCCGCCCTCCATTCGTGAATCTTGTGCACATTTGTGAAACGAATGTGCGCGGCGCTGCGGGGAAAATCACATTTTGACAACGTCCCCCTCCATCGGTGAAGCTGTTGCCAATTTCTAAGTCTCAGGGTCATACGTGGTGAGGGAGTCTCAGGCAAAACGCCCGGCCCGCCCTAAAAACTTGCCTCGGGGTGCGACACGGAGAAGTTACTTATAAGAAAAACGAATGGAGGAGGAAAAGGACATAGAGGAGGACGAGGAGGAGGAGAAGGAGGAGGAGTAGGAGGACGAGGACGAGGATGAGGAGGAGGAGGAATAGGAGGTGGACGATGAGGGTGAGGATGAGGAGGACCAGTGTAAACCCAAGGCTCATCAACGATGTTGGAACAAACCTCCCCATCAAGCTCTTTCATCTCAGGCCACTACAAAGGTTTCATTCCTACAGAGGGAACTGCCTTGTTGGGATCGTTGGAAGGACAACCGCTTGAAGTCCCTGAAACGTGCCAACACGTCGTTTTCGGGACTCCAGCGCCACGAATCAACACGATTCTTGTGTCTTGACGAGCCAGATTCCTGCCAGAACACCGTTCTTGGGACTGCAACACAGCGAATCAACGTGACTGTCGCGCCCTCGCAAACTTGAGTCCCTCCGAAACACCATTCCTGGTGCGTTGACCATGGGATCCGTGAAGCTCCTGCAAGTGTTTAAGGGGTTGTGCGCGGCGCCAAGGCGAGAGCCACAGTTCGAAAGGCACCGCCCTCAATCCGTGAAGCTCTTGCATTTTGTTTGCAAGCGAATGTGCGCGGCGCCCAGGCGAGAGCCACATTTTCAAAGGAACCGCCCTCAATCCGTGAAATTCTTGCATGTTTCAAACGAATAAACGCGGCGCCAAGGCGAGAGCCACATTTTGAGAACACCCGCCCTCAAGCCGTGACGCTCTTGCAAATATTTTGAAGTACTGTGCGCGGCGCTAAGGCGAGAACCACATTTTGAAAACCACTCGTCCCCCATGCGTGAAGCAGGTGCACATCTTAAAACGAAAGTGCGTGGCGCTAAGTCGAGAGCCACATCTTGAACACGACCCGCCCTCAATCCGTGAAGCTGTTGTCAATTTATAAGCTTCGGTGTCATACATGGTGAGGGTGTCCCAGGCAAAACGCCTGGCCCGCCCTTTCGACTGACCTCGCGGTGCGTCAGGGAGGAGCTGTGCATAAGGAAAAGAAAAGGAGGAGGAGGAGGAGGAGGAGGAGGAGGAGGAGGAGGAGGAGGAGGAGGAGGAGGAGGAGGAGGAGGATGGATATGGATATGGATATGGATATGGAGGAGGAGGAGGAGGAGGAAGAGGAGCAGGCGGAGGAGGAGGAGGAGGAGGAGGAGCGGAAGGGGTCCGTAGCCATTTTTGGCTCAAGACATTGTTATGCACCGCATACTGTACTTTGTCTGTTACGGCATTCGCGATATTGTATATCGTTTCTCTTATCCATGCCCAAACATACCCTCGCCGTGCGCCATGGGGCGGCAGTGTGCCACGCCCGCTCGCCCCAGGAGGCCGCGGAGGTGATGCTGGCGCTGTGCAGGCAGCGTGGTGCGGACGACCAGGTCTTGGGCATCGTGACACCGAGCGTCCTGGGAGCAGCGGCGGACGCCGTTGCGGTGCTCGGGGAGGCCACACTCTCGAAGGGCCTCGCGAGGCAGAGGAGCCGAGAGGCGCGCCTCCCGTCGCACCTGGAGCGCGACCTCCGAGCGCTGGACCGTGCAGCTTCTTTACTGAGGCACCCGGGCGCGGCGCAGGCCATCGTGGCGCGCCTCCAGGAGTGGAAGCACAAGCGGCTCGAGTCGGAGCAGACTTCGGGAGGTGGGTCCGAGGAGGGGACCACCGACACGCAGGGCGATGGCGGCTGCGAGGCTTTGCACTTCCGCCTCGGTAGCGACGACCACGGGTACAGCGTAGCTTCGGGCCACACCGACTACGGCGAGGTGGAGAGCGGCGCGCCCTGTGTCCCTTGCAAGGGGCTGGAGCACATCGGCGGCGGCGTCGATTACAGGCTTGATGATATGAAGTCGATGCTCTATGGGGTGCGGGCCGACATTTTCTCCTTGCGTTCGGAGCTCGGCTTTGCTGGCGGCTGTGCGGTGGACGCCTCCATTGGTGGCGATGGTGACGCTGTCGCCGAGGAGGCGATGCACCAGGAGAAGCTGTACGACGGCCTCAGCTTCCAGGCGGATGTCGAGGACCAGTCCTTGTGCAAGGAGCCCGTGGCGCATCCCACTAATATGCTGTCTGCGGAGGCCGTCAGCGAGTTGCCCTGCGTGCAGCCTGCTCAGTAGGAGTCCGCGGATGCAGCCGACGGTGAACAGCTTAACTTCAAGACCGCCACCCCGACCACCGAGGGCCTTCTTAAGGTTAGAGGGCTGCGTGGCCCGTCCAGGGAGGACGCCAACGACCCGTTCTCGCTTGCGGTCAAAGCTCGCCTCCAGGACTTGCGGGTGAATGAGGCGTCCATGAATGAGCTGGAGCACCCTTCCGCCACGCGCCTCACCCTCACCAGGAGACCCTGCGGCAAGCTGCCCTGCCTTGCCGTCCAGCATGGCGCCCCCAAGGAGGACGCCACGTGAGGTTGCTAGGCAGGGCCAGTGCCTTCCCTCCCTTTTCCTCCCACAGCCAGCAGAGGAGACGGCCAGGCGAGGTCCAGGCTCTGCTTTACGGGGGCGGGAAGGACGGGGGGTGCGGGGGGGCGGGACGACGACGACGGCGACGGCGACGGTGACGAGTGCCGAGACGGCACCTGCCGTTGACCATCGCCCGTTTCTTTCCTTGGTGCTGCGCCGAGGCACATCCATCCCTCTTCTTGTCCTTTCTCCAAGCCGATTCCGATGGCTCGATTGCCCATCGTCACGAGCTACTGTCCTTTGTGTGGGATCGGAATCAAGCAGCAAAGGAGGCTGTACAGAGATCGGCCTCATCTATGCGTGGACTGCAGCAGCAAGAGTGTTTAGCAGGCCCCGTACCTGCTATAGCTCCACACCCATTGCCCTTCTCATCCATCTCTGGGCAGATTGCATGTGCAGATCTCTCGTTGGAGGAATGGGGGGGGGGGGGGGGAATTATGGAAGATGGGATCAGGGAGGCTTCGCTCGTCAGATAGAGGTCAGACGGCCTCGCGCGTGACCTTCCCGCTCTCTGAATGTTCTCCCCCACCCATCGTCCTCCATCCTGCTAGCCGCACGAGTGGGCTTTTGGAGTGGGTGGAAGGGGGCGGGATAGGGGGGGAACACTCGTTACGACGATGTTGTCGCCTTTGCGCAGCATCCTACATATCTGCCCTGCCCGAGGCGTCCTCGGGGCGTCCCAGGTTGAGCGGGCTCTGGGCCTCATCCCCCTTCTCCTCCCCAGAAGCAGAAGGCCAGTGCCTGTTTTCCACAGCTTGCCCAGTTCTCGAGGGGATGGAAGGGAGGGAAGAGCAGGTGGAGGTTTGCGACGTCACCCCGCGGACAGCGTGGTTGGGGAGGTGCCAGCCCGCGCTCGGGCAGACCCATGGCGAGGGGGCCGCGGGCCAGCCCTCCAGGGGACTTCGGAAGCACCATTCTCCTCCTTCCCTCTCTTCCTCCCTCCTCTCGGCCTTCCTTCTTCTCCATGGTGCTTCCTTAGTTTTCCCACTCCTTATTTTTGTCCTTTCCTGCTCCTAGAGTGGGCTTGGGACTCACTAGTGCAACAAAGCAAAAGAGGAGCGGAGGGAAAAGGCCTTTGTGCTTTCCACCTCGGCGAGTGTGGGCACGTGCCGCCACCGCCCCACCTACCTGTTAACGCCGCCACTTTCTGTCCCGCCGCTTCGGTTACATCTCGCGCAGCTTCACGGCTTAAGCCGTGCTTTTGCTACCTCCCTTACCGCAGCAGTTGCTAAGCCACCTAGGACAGTTCATTGCAACCTCGCAGCTGCCACCTAGAGAATGGGGTGGGATGTTGAATATAGGCGACTGCCACATTTGGCCTGCTCGCGCAGCTTCAGCGGCTTCAGCCGTGTTTCTGCCACCTCTCCTACCGCCGCAGCTGCCACGCAACCCAGGACAACCCACTTCAGTCCTACGGCCGCCACCTAGAGGATAGGGTGGGAGTGTACGTGGTGGGGGGAATGATGTTACAACGTAAGCGGCCGCCACATTTGGCATGGACGCGCAACTTTAATGTTTTCAACCGTGTCTCCACCACCTCTCCCATCGCCGCAGCTGCCGCGCCTCCTCTCCCCCTTGATTTCAGTATCTGGAGGAGGTGGGGGAGGAGGCCACTTCTGCCACCGCAGCAGCTGACACGCTACCCAGGACAGCTCATTGCAGCATCGCAGCCGTCACCTAGAAGGTAGGGTGGGAGTTGAACACAGACGACCGCCACATTTGGACAACGGTTTCAGCTGTATTTCTGCCGCCTCTCCTACCGCCGCAGCTGCCGCGCCACTCGAGACAACCCGCTGCAGTCTCGCAGCCGCCGCCCAGAGGATCGGGTGGGATCTTCCGGGGTGGGGGGAATGATGCTACAACAGGCGTCCGCCACGTTTGGCCTGACCGCGCAGCTGTAACGGTTCTAGCTGTGCCCTGCCACCCCTTCCTTTTCCGCAGCTGCCGCGCCACCTGGGACCACCCGCCGCAGCCTCGCAGCCGCCGCCTTCTCCTCTCCCCCTTGATTAAGGCTCCTCCCTTCCCCCCTCTCTCTGTCTGGGTAGTCGAAGGCCAGACTGTCAGATTGGATTGGGCCAAACTGGAAGATTGGGGTTATTCGCCAGACTGGATTCGCGTTGGCTCCCTCGTCAGATTGCCCCCGTTTGCCAGATTGGGCCTGCCAGGTTGGCGCCAGATTGGCTTCGACTACCCAGTCTGTCATTTATATACGTATAACGGGGAGCCGGGTCCGGTGGCCGGGGGCCGGAGCCCCGACCTCAACTGTGGGGCCCGGTGCGCCGGGAGCCCTGCCGGAGCGCCGGGGGTCCGTCCAAGATCGCCCAGAGATGGCTTCGGAACGCTCGAAAACCCGCCGCCTCTCTCTGTCCTTTGTTAGTTTCCTTCCGCAACGCCGCCGGTGACCCCTGGGACGGTGCTCCAGGGGTCACCTCGCTCTAGTTCGATCACCCCCCCCCGGGGCCGACCGACGGGCCCTCGGGGCGGAGGGCTCCGAATCAGGAGGAGGAGGAGGAGGAGGAGGAGGAGGAGGAGGAGGAGGAGGAGGAGGAGAGGAGGAGGAGGAGAGGAGGGAGGGAGGAGGAGGAGGAGGAGGAGGAGGAGGGAGGAGGAGAGGGAGGAGGAGGAGGAGGAGGAGGAGGAGGAGGAGGAGCAGGGAGGAGGAGGAGGAGGAGGAGGAGGAGGAGGAGGAGGCGGAGCAAGGAGGAGGAGGAGGAGGAGGAGGAGGAGGAGGAGGAGGAGGACGGCGGGAGGGCGACGCGGAGGATGGCCGAGGAGCGGAGGAGCGGGGGCCCGGCCTGCCGCCAGGTGATGCTGCTCGTGGTGCAGCGCCACGACTCCCTGAGCACCGCCGTGGCCTTCGAGTCGCGAGGGGGTTATCGACTTCGACGTCTCCCGTCGAGGGACAGTCGACGCGGTGGGCTCCTCCGCAGGTGGGCGAGTCACACGGCTCGCCCGATCTGTGTGGCTGGTCGGGCTCTTCTTCTTTGATCGCGTGGGGAACGAACTCGGCGGCAAGGTCCATGCGTCACCTTCGCCGATCAAGCAACCCGATGGGCGGCGGGGCTAAGGGGTCGGAGTAGTGAAAGTCGAACCGCACCCCCGCTTCCCATCGATTCAGGAGAATCGATTGTTGGTGGGGGTAGGGTTCCGATGTCGCCACGTACGTCATCCGTATTCACGGCCTCGCGGTCCGAGCTTCTCGGCCGCGGCCCCCCGTGAACACATGCTTGCTTTGCGCGGATGCTTCGTGAGCGCATCTATTGGATCGCGCATCCTGGGGGTCGCGCGCCCGTATCCAGTCCGCCATGGCACGGATACACATACATACATGTATATAAAGTGCACGCTGCACATAGTGTACATCGTATGCATCATCGTTTCCACACTCTACATAGTGTACATCATGTATACACGCGCGCACACATGTGTATAGATGTATGTGCGTATGCATGTATATATGTATGTAGTTGTGTATGTACGTATGTATGTATGTATGCATGCATGTATGTATGTATGTATGTATGTATGTATGTATGTATGTATGTATGTATGTATGTATGTATGCATCCATGCACGCATGCATGCACGCATGCATGCATGCATGCATGCATGCATGTATATATGTATGTATGCATTCATGCATGCATGTATGGATGTATGTATGTATGGATGTATGTAGATATGCATGCATTCATGCATTCATGTATATGTGTATGTGTGTATGTGTGCATGCATGTATGTTTGTATGTATGTATGCATGTATGTATTTCTGTCTCTCTGTCTGCCTGTCTGTCTGTCTGTCTGTCTGTCTGTCTGTCTGTCTGTCTGTATGTATGTATGTATGTATGTATGTATGTATGCAACTACGTATATAGTTGATGTTTTTCTTTAACACGTATAAATTTTGACATACACATGCGCATAGGTCTAGGTTTATGCACATATTTGCTGGTCGGAACCTCGCCTCCGACACGTTTCGCTGAGAATGTTGGGCACCTCTCGAGTGCTCTGGAGCCCCGGGTGTGCTTTTTGGCAGCCGCACCCGCGTCGGGAATGCCAGGGCGCCGGGGTCGTCCCGCGCGGCAGTGTCAGGAACATAGCGGCGACGACGACCATGGCGACGACGACGTTCACGGCGACGACGACGACGACGAGGCACGACGATGCTGAGGCAGGCACCATGGGATATGCTGCCTCCCATCCGTTACGAATCTGTTTCGTGCTTGATGTTTCTTCGGCCCTCTCGGGGTGTCTTTGCCTCGTCTTGACCGTGGTTTGGTTGTACCCCTTTTTAACTTGCTTGTCGCTGTTCTCATATTTCACGGGTATATGTCGCTTCATGTATTCCCCAAACAGTGCTTGCACTTAGGGTTTCCTCTTTCTGTTCTGAAGAACTGGGCTGGTGTGGCGGTCTGGCGGCTATGTTGTCGCCTTCGCCGCCCCGCGCCGCCTCGTCGCTGCCCGTCGTCCGCGCTGTTTTTGCGGTCTGGCGGCTATGTTGTCGCCGTCGCCGCCCCGTTGCCGCGTTGTCGCCGCCCGTCGTCTGAGCTGGTGTGTCGGTCTGGCGGTTATGCTGTCGCCGTCGCCGCCCCATCGCCGCCTCGTCGTGGCCTCGCATATTTGCATCACATAGAGTGCACCACGTGGATTGCACCACATACATTGCACCATATCGATCGCACAACAGAGAGCGCCACATAAATTGCACAACATAGATCTTAATACACAGAGACTGCACCACATATATCGCACCACATATTGCACCACATGTAGTGTGCCATATACATTTGTTGCATAACACAGATCGTACATCATCTATTTCACAACGTAGGTTTGCACCGTATATATTGCACAGCATAGGATGCAGAGCAGATATCGCTCAGCATATACTGAGCAATATTAATCGCACCATCAGTATTGCACCGCAGATATTGCGCCGCATCTATTTCACCACGTAGACTGCACAACATATACTACCCCATATAGATTGCACAATCTATTTCGCTAATAGCACTGTTTTGGGTCCACGCTGGCTGAAACACACGAGCGAAAGTAGGTTTATTGATTTCTGCCTCTGCCTCTTTCTTTCTCTCGCTTTCTAACTCAATGCTTTTGGTGTGTGTTGTTTGTTCCCCCTTTTTTTTTTTCTCTCTCTCTCTCTCTCTCTTTATTTGTGTCTCTTCACCACAAGGCATCGCAAACGCGATTGGGGTCCAGAAGTGCAAATACCCAGCCAGGGTAGCAGCATGTGCTGTATCCTGCACCTCCTCCAGGAGAGCCTTCTCCTCTTGATGCCCTCCTCCACCTCTCCGCCCTTCCTCTCCAAGAGTTCGTCCTGCCAGGTGTGTCATTGACCTTTTGAGAAAGTGCGGGCTGTGGTGATGGGATTGCGAAGAGATTGGGGATTCAGAGGAGTGGCAGGTCCCACGTCTTCGCCGCCTCGGAGGGCCCCCAGGTAGCCATCATCGACACCTACAAGGTGGCACCCCTCGATGGAGCGAGGACGAATACGAGGAGGAGGAGGAAGAGGAGGAGGATGAGCTCTTCCTCCTCTTCCTCCTCTTCTTCCCTCCGACCTGCCATCGAGGATTCTTTCGCGGCGTGCATGGATTGTTTACGCCAGCCGAGGTGGGCTTCATGCTGGGCAGCTATCAGCTCTTTCTCTACATGGAGAGACAACTTGCTCAGTTTCGTACCCACCCTGGGCACAGCAGCGCACATCCTTGCGGTCGTGGAGAGAGCCCTTTGGAACGAACGCACTGCTAGTGAAACTGGCCAGCGGGGATGTGATCACAGCGAGGCACGTCAATTCTGAGAGGGATGTCTTCGGGGACACTTCGAGTCCTCTATGATGTGCAGCCGTCTTTGAGGATCTTAGGGCCTTCGGTCACTTGCACAGGCTGCTGCGTTGAAGACGTGAAGGCCGATACGCACCATGTTTTGTGCGTGCTTCGGCAGGATCGGCGTTTTTTTTGACTAACAGCTTCATCCCTATCCGTGCAAATGCAAGGTTACATAAGCCCTTGATGTCGCTGGAGGCATCATCCGAGTATTTAGACTGAAGGCGCTCCAAGCTTGTCTCGTGGCTGCTACGTCTGCGCCGCACGCCGAGTGAAACGACGCAGCAGTTTTGTTGCTTGCGCGGGAACCGTGCCGTGAAGCAGCTGATCGGTGCGCAATGGTGGAGTGACAATTTGCTTGCGTGTCTGTCTTGGCACTCATACGGTCAACGGCACCACGACTGCTTGGCGGCCAGAGCGGCGCGCGAGCAAAACCACGAATGGGTCGCCTCGCAGGGGCCGGTATAAGCCCTTTTCGAGAGAAGGGCGTGGAAAGGTCTGGCGCTGGGACGCGTCTGGCTGAACCTCCCGCATTCGCCCAGCACGGATGCGAGACCCCTACCTGATTTGGCCCTTCACGGACGGATTTTTGTGCAGCGTAGGTTGTAACGGCAGAACAGGAGAGCTTCGCTCTTGAATTGTCGTGCGCCACATCGTCGTCGTCGTCCTCCTCCTCCTCCTCTTCCTCTTCTCTCTGCTCCTCGTCTCTATTCTTTCTCGTCCTACTCCTCCTTCTCACCTGCTTCCTCCTCCACCTACCCTTCCCTATATACCATTCTTGAGCGAAATGCGCATGCCTCACGGCCCATCGAGATCTTGGAGGCGGTCTCGGTGTATGGCGAGTAGGATCAGCATCAACTCACCGAGCCCGCCCCCAGTGTCAGTCTAGCTGCGCGAAAGGACTGGATCGGCGGTCGAATTTTGATGGGGCCTCAGTGCAGCTAGGTCGTTGCCCATTGGCCTCCCCCCAAAGAGGAGGCTTGGGAGGGGCGAACGGGGAAGCGATGTTGATGATGATGATGATGATGATGATGATGATGATGATGATGATGATGATGCAGATGCTGATGATGATGATGATGATGTTGCGGATGCTGATGATGCTGATGCTGATGATGCTGATGCGGATGATGATTCTCATGATGGTAACTAATGATGTTGATGCGGATGATTATTGTGATGATGGTGCTGATGATCATGATGATGATGCTGGTGATTCTGATGATGATGCTCATGCTGAAGCTGCTGCTGTTGCTGATGATGACGACGATGATGTTGATGATGTTGATAATGATGATGATACTTGACTGATTTGTTGATTGATTGATTGATTGATTGATTGATGATGATGATGAGGGTGATGCTCATGCTGATGATGATGCTGATGATTCTGCTGATGGTGATGATGATGCTGCTGCGGCTAATGATGATGATGGTGCTGATAATGATGGTACTGATGATGACGATGATGGTGATGATGATGCTGATGACGATGCTGTTGATGCTGCTGATGATGCTGATGATGATGACGATGCATATTATCATGACGATGATGATGCTGATGCTGTTGATGATGATTATGATGATGATGCTGAGGATGAGGATGATGATGATGATGATGATGATGATGATGACGACGATGATGATGATGATGATGCGGAAGATGATGAGGACCATGATGGTGATGATGATGATGCTGACTCTGACCGTGATGTCGATGATCATGATCATGCTGATGATGCTGATGTCGATCTCGATGATGATGATGATGATGATGATGATGATGATGATGATGATGATGATGATGATGATGACGGTGACGTCGATGATGCTGATGCTGCTGATGATGATGATGCTGAGGATGTGACGATGATGACGAGGAGGATGCGGATGTGGATGATGACAATGATGAGGACGACGACGACGATGATGATGATGCTGATACTGATGATTCTGATGATGATGATGATGATGATGATAATAATAATGATGATGCTGATGATGATGATGCTGATGCTGATGATGACGATGCTGATGATGCTGATGCTGCTGGTGGTGATGACAGGATGATGATGATCATGCTGCTGATAATGACGATGCTGCTGATGATGCTGATTATGATGGTGATTATGCTGCTGATGATGATGTTGATGCTGCTGATGCTGATGATGTTGATGACGAGGCTGATGATGATGCTGATGCTGAGATGATGGCGATGACGATGATGATGATGATGCTGATGATGCTGATGATGATGATGATGATGATGATGTTGATGATGATGCTGACGATGCTGCTGATGATGATGATGATGATGATGAGGATGATGATGAGGATGAGGATGAGGATGAGGATGATGCTGATGATGCTGATGCTGATGATGATGCTGATGCTGCTGATGATGATGATGATGATGATGATGATGATGCTGATGATGATGATGATGATGATGACGATGATGATGATGATGATGATGATGATGATGATGATGATGATGATGATTATGATGATTATGCTGATGCTGATGCTGATGCTGATGCTGATGCTAATGCTGATGCGCTGCTCATGAGGAGGAGGAGGAACAGGAGTAGGAGGAGGAGGAGGAGGCGGAGGCGGAGGCGGAGCAGGAGGGGGGGAGGAGGAGTAGGAGGAGGAGGAGATGGGAGGAGGAGGAGGAGGAGGAGGAGGGAGGATGGTGGAGGATGGATGGGATGGAGGAGGGAGGAGGAGGAAGGAGAGGAGAGGAGGAGGCGGAGGAGGAGGACAAGGAGGAGGAGAGGATGAGGGAGGGAGGGATGGGATGAAGATGGCGAAGATGGAGGGGATGGAAGAGGAGGGTGGGGAGGGTTGGAAAAGGAGGGACACAAGCAAGCGCAGGAACAGCGGCAAAACGTGGAGGAACAGCGGGCTGACTGCATCCCCCGCCTCCGCATCGCTTCCCTCCCCCCACCTTCCTTGCCCTCCGCTGCCTTGCCCGCTTTCCGATCTGGGTGGGAGAGATGGGGGGGGGGGGGGGAATGCGGAGGCGCGGGTGAACGTGAGATGATCGCGAGGAGGGAAGATGAGGGAGGAGGAGGGAGGAGGAGCAGGGCGAGGAGGAGGAGACGGAGGAGGAGGAGGACGAGGAGGAGGAGGAGGAGGAGGTTTGGGATGAGGATAAGGATGAGGATGAGGATGATGGCGATGCTGCTGATGATGATGATGATGATGATGATGATGATGCTGATGCTGATGCTGATGCTGATGCTGATGCTGATGCTGCTGCTTAGGATGAGGAGGAGGAGGAATATGAATATGATGATGATTATGATGATGCTGATGCCGATGATGCTGATGCCGATGATGCTGATGATGATGAGCATGCTGATGACGATGATGATGCTGACGATGATGCTGATGCTGACGATGATGATGCTGATGATGGTGATGATGATGAGGATGCTGCTGCTGATGATGAGGATTGGGAGGTGGATGAGGATGATGATGATGATGATGTTGTTAATGATGATGCTGATGATGATGATGATGATGATGATGATGATGATGATGATGATGATGATGATAATGCTGATGCTGATGATGATGATGATGCTGATGATGATGATGATGATGCTGCTGATGATGATGATGATGGTAGCACTGGGACCCTCGGAGAGGCTTTCTATGGTGCCACGACACGCTGTACTGGGTGGGGGGGTCGCATGCGATCGGTAGCACGGGGATCTTCGGTGGAGGTCCCATATGGGGCCACAACGCGCTCTACTGGGTGGGGGGGGGGGTGCGTGCGATGATGATGCGGAGGATGATGATGACGATGATGATGATGATGATGATGATGATGATGATGATGATGACGATGATGATGATGATGATGATGAGGATGATGATGAGGACGACGACGATCATGATGCCGATGATGATGATGATGATGATGATGATGATGATGATGCTGATGCTGATGCTGCTGCTGATTCGGATCATGATGATGCTGATGATTATGATGATGATTCTGATGATGCTGCTGATTATGATGCTGTTGCTGCGGATCATGATGACTATGACGATGCTGATGCTGATTATGTCGATGATGCTGATGGGGATGATGATGATGCTGTTGATGATGACGATGATGATGATGATGACGATGATGCTGCTGATGATGATACTGATGATGCCGATGATGGGTGATGATGATGATACTGATGGTACTGCTGATGATGGTGCTGATGCTGCTGCTGATGCTGATGCTGATGTTGATGCTGATGATGATAATGCTGATGCTGATGGCGATGATGCTGATGATGATGATGCTACGGATGCTGCTGATGATGCTGATAATGATGCTGATGCTGCTGCTGATGATGATGACGATGATGATGGTAATGACGATGATGATGATACTGATGACGCTGCTGATGATGATACTGATGCTGGTGATGCTGATGATGATGCTGATGCTGATGCTGATGCTGATGCTGATGATGATGATGATGATGATGGTGATGCTGCTGATGATGATGACGATGATGATGATAATGATGATGATGCTGATGATGCTGAGGATGATGATGCTGATGATGACGATGATGATGATGCTGATGATGATGATGCTGCTGCTGATGATGATTATGATGATGATGATGATGATGACCACGATGATGATGATGATGCTGATGATGATGCTGATGATGATGATGGTGATGATTTGATGATCATGATGATGATGACGATGATGCTGATAATGATGATGATATGATGATGATGATGATGATGATGATGATGATGATGATGATGATGATGATGATGATGATGATGATGATGATGATGATGATGATGATGATGCTGATGCTGCTGATGCTGATGCTGATGCTGATGCTGATGCTGATGCTGATGCTGCTGAGGAGGAGGAGGAAGAGGATCAGGAACAGGCGGAGGAGGAGGAGGAGGAGGAGGAGGGGAGGAGGAGGAGGAGGATGAGGAGGAGGGGGAAGAGGAGGAGGATGAAGGAGAGTGGATGGGGAGGAGGAGGAGGAGGAGGAGGAGAAGGAGGAGGAGGAGGAGGAGGCGGAGGAGCTGGAGGAAGAGGAGGAGGAGGAGGAGGAGGAGGCGGAGGAGGAAGAGGAGGAGGAGGTCCGTAGCCATTTTGGCTCAAGCCGTTCTGGCTCAAGGTGGTTGGCGCAACCTGGGGCCCATTTTTCTGACCTGCTGATAGCAGGCGCGAACCGTCACGATTTCCTTTCCTCTCAGTTTCTCTGTGCAATGTCCTGGCGCACTCCCTGGTCCGGGCGGAGCTCTTCCCCGAAGGCGTACAGCTGGACCTGCAAGTGCTGTGTCGCCTCTGTCTCTTGGAATCTGTCTTGGTGCTGGCGCTGCGGCGAACACTTCTCAGGCAAGAAGAAGACCCAGGAGACGGACGGGGAAAAACCCAAGTCCAAGGGAGCCAAAGGACGTCGTCTGCGCGGAGGTGTCCAACCCGACGGAGCCCAGCAAGGCGGTGGAGGTGGCAGCGGCGGGGCGTTGGCAGGCGCCGACAGCCCCCCTGGCCTCCCGCATGCCCCTGGTGGCCCCCCCCGCCCAGGTGGCGCAGGGGCCGAAGGGGGAGCTGGCGCAGCGCAGGCCGATGGCGGCCCAGGCGCCGCCTCCGCCCCGCCCATCACGGGCCAGCAGATCCAGATCTGCCAGCAGGCCCTGGACATCATGCGCAAGTTTGGGTTCAGTCGGACAGCCAGCGCAGCAGGCCCTGGCAGGGTCCTTGCAGTCCATGCGCGAGGCGCGCGCGGCTACTAAGCCCATCAGCGCCCAGCTGCAGCAGGCGTCAGACAAACGCATTAAGCATCAGAAGCAGCTCGAACGACATGAAGAACAGCTCCGTGTCTACCAGCTCCGAGTGGTCAACGCCCGCCAACACCTCGAGCAGCAGGAAAAGCTTGTCCAACAAGAGCAAGCAGCCATCGAGGAGACCCGCATCAAGATCGAGGAGGCGAAGAAGGCAGAGGCAACCGCAGATTCAGCGGAAGCCGAGCAGGTGCCAGGTTTGGCCCACAGTCTTGATGATACTCCTGCAGTCGAACTGTTGGCAGCGGTTGAGCGGAAGGTCAGCGCCATGGCCAACGACAACCAGACCGAGCTGGGGAACATCTTCCAGAGGCTCACCATACTACTCCAGCCTCAGCCAGAGGCAGCGAGCCGCGCTGCATCCTCGAGCCCAGCGAGTAAGGCAGCGGCAGGAACCCCACCTGGAGGCGGCGGGCTTGCAGGAGACGGCGCGGCCGAGTCGGCGGCCAAGGCCGCCCCAGCGGCCAAGGCTCCTCCGCAGCGACGCCGAGCAGCAGGCGAGCGAGGCGGCGACGGCCCTGAGGCACGCTCCAGATCGCCCACCAGCCGTGAGGCAGGAGTGGCCGAAGGGTCTGCAGAGCCCAAGGCCAAGGCAGCCCCACCGTCTCGTGGGTAGCAGTTTCACGTTTATCACTATCAACACATCCTCGTGGAAGACGGCAAAACTTTTTCTTGCCAGCGTGCCGAGGTCCACAGAGGTTGTGTTTCTTTAGGAGCATAGGCTCCGTGTAGCTCAGATTCCAGAAGTTCAGAACACTCTCAGTCTCCAAGGGTGGGCTAGCTACTGGAATCCCTGCCTGGTCACCTCTGAGAATCGAAATTCGGGAGGGGTGGCCATCCTAGTTCGTAGGCATTTAGACTCTTGGCAATCTTCCGTCTCTAGTAGTGTCCTGGCTCCTGGGAGGATAGTGCACGCATACCTGAGAACTCGGAGTTTTGGGATTGTCAGTTTATACAGTAACTATTGGGTAGACTCTATCGGGCCTGGTAGGGCCAACATGGTTCTGTCCAAGATCTTGGGGTCTCATATCCTGGGCTCTGGAGTCCCCTTCGTCGCGGGTGGTGATTTCAACGTAAACCCTGAGACGCATCATGAGCACATGAGGCCCCGCAAGTACCTAGGAGAGATTTACGCACCTGAGTCCGCGACCTGCATCATCGGGGACAACAGGACCGTCATTGATGATTTCATCGTATGCCGTCAACTCGCCCTCAGCTTCGAGAGGATAGCAGTAGACGAGGATGCGATGATACCGCCGCACAAGCCAGTTACGATGTCCTTGAGCAGCGCTACCGAGGACATATTGGTTCAAAGGATTGTTAAATACCAGAAGGTGCCAGCTGAGGTCCCCACAGGCCCCTCGAAGCCCCCGCCCGACTACGGTGATTTGGCTGACGAGATTCAGGCCCTGCTCGAGGATTTTCGCCACCCTTCAGGAAAAGGTTTTAGAGCGCCAGCAGGAGACGGCGAGAAGGCGATCCTGCAGGCTGCTCTGGATCGCATCTACCCCGCCTGGACTGACAGGACTTGGGGTGAGCTTAAAGACAAGTTTCAAGTACCCACCGCCATCGGCTTGGAAGGAGGTCGGCCTCTGCAGTTTGAGACGGTCCGCCTCTCAGAACTTCTCCTCACCTCCAGGAACCCTTTACCCAGCGAGAGCAGATGCATTGCGTGGATGCTTCGCCGAATCAAGGAGTTAAAAAGTCTTATTCAGAGAGGACCTTCCAAGCAGTTTCAGGACCTCGCGAATCACACTCGCCAGCTCCCTTCGAGAGGAGGCCCGTTCAGGACCCTGTGGAGGAGCCATTGCGAGTTCTGGCACCACTTCTGCGCGGAGCTCGGCACCCTTGCTCTCACTCCAGGCAAGCAGGACATCTTCGTCCAGGCTGTCGAGTGCTGGGTGCCCATCCTTGGCGAGTTGTTTGACAGTTATGTTAAGAAGGAGAGGAAGGAGGCGACGGCAAGGTGGGAAAATTGGTGTGAGGAGGCATTAGCTGGAGGAGCGAAACGAGGACATAGCAGTACCAAGGTTTCTGGAGGAGGAGACGAGGATACTGTCAAACATCCTGATGGAGCCCGCTCTTCAGCTTTCGGCCTACGGTTTCAAGAGCAACATGACATTTGGCGCAAGGCCTGGGGGGTTCACGAGCCCCGAGTTCAGCTGCAGGATCCCCTGGACACCAACTACTGGATTCCCCCAGGCCCCTCCAGAGACCATTTACGTAAGATCTCGTCAAAGTTCAAGACGTTCACCACCGCTGTGGACGGGTACCACCCCAAGCACTTCTCCCAGCTCTCTGAAGGCGCCCTAGAGGTCATGGAAGGCATCGTTAACACCATGAACGTTCTAGGAAGCAGCCCTTCGGCGCTGAAAGAACTGATTGTTGCACTATTCCGCAAGGCGACTGGAGGTCGAAGGCCCATCGGGTTTTACAAGAGCTTCAGCCGCATTTACTCCAGGAGCCTATCTCACCACTGCCGCGAATGGGAACGTATCTCGGCCAAGTCGAAACATTTCAACATGGCCCCTCATAGGCACACTACAGATTCCGTCTGGAGGGCGGTGGTGAGAGGCGACATCGCAGATCATTCAGGCAAGTTTGTAGCTACCCTCCTGGCAGATTTAAAGCAGTGCTACGAGCACATTGGCCATCACACAATGCTCAGCGAGGGCATGAGGTGTGATTTCCCTTTGTTCGCGCTGAAGGCGGCGCTCGACTCTTACAGGTGGCCACGGAGGCTACTCGTGGACAACGCAGTTGGCGAGCCCCTCTACCCCACCAGAGGGATTGTAGCGGGCTCCTCCACGGCCACCTTTGAAGTTAAAGGATATATGATTCCGACGATCCGCGACACGACGATCTACGATGGCACGTCTCTCTCGATACACATCGACGACTTGGCGTTCGACTCGATAGGATGTACTGTTGAAGCGTGTTTGAATGGCTTGGCGGATCTTGCAGCTAGGATTTTTCATAAGTTCACGTATACCCTCGAGCTCCCTATCCATATGAAGAAGCTTAACTTCACGGCTAACAACTTCGAGGTCCTGAAGCAAGCTCCTGGGGCTCTTGGGGAATACTCTGGGTCCATCAAGAATTCCATTACCAATCTGGGGGTGGACTATAACGTGGGGAAGATCAGGGCCGCCAAAGGATGCAGATCGAAAAAGATGTCCAGGTGGAAGGAGAACATGAAGCGTCTCCCCAAAATCTGTCGACTTCGGGATCGCAAACAAGGCGAGCCGAAAAAGGTCAAAATATACACCTGCGGAGTCAAGCCCTCCATTTGCTATGGGGAAGAAGTCTCAGGACATTCACCTCAGGAAATAAAAAAGTTAAGAGTTCAGACTGCACGGCTTCTCGGCATTTGGTCGCCTGGCTGTGACATCAACATTTGCTGGCTCATGAAGCCAGAGTCCGACCCCATCTCCCACGCCAGTGCCACCCTCAAGAGGTATTGCAGGGAGTGGTGGATGACCACAGACAGCCAGATTAAGCCGCCTGATGCTCTCAGCCCGAAGGAGCTCCGCCAGAGCTACGAGTTCTCTCAGAGGTTTTTTGATCAAGTACCTCGGGGGAAGGGTTGGGCCTACAAGGTTAGGAGCCCTCTCACGGACTCCCTCTTCTGGACGGGGCAGGCAGGCTGGTATTTCAAAGGCCCCACGGCGGTCAAGACCAGCAATGAGCTCGAGCTCAAGATCACGGAGTCCTCACCAGCTCTCATACAGAAGCTGTTCACGGCAGACCTCAGGCATAAGTTTTTGGAAAGCTCGGTTTGCAAAAAACTTTGCGAGTCCGAGGTCCCCGACGATGACATCCACCCCAGGGCCAACGAGATCAGAAATCGAGGTTTGTGGGGTTTCCCGTTCAGTAAGGTCTGGAACAGCAGCAAGTGGAGCTACGATTCAAAGAGACGCTTGAGAGATTTAATATGCAGCACGACTCCCACCAGCCATCTTCTTTGGAAGCGAGGTTTCAAGGTGGAGCCGACCTGCCTGTACTGCGGCCTGTGCGACACTGTCTTCCATCGGCTATGGCGCTGTCCCCATGGGGACTCAGCAAGAGGAAATGTCGACCCTGTCATTGTTGAGGCGGCCCGAAGTTCCGCGGGTAAGGACCCCCTTTACACCCAGCTGTGGATCCCCGTGACCGAAATCAAGACATTTCCTCCTGATGATGATATAGTGGAGTATTGCGACAGGGTCGGCGAAATTGACGAGTTCGATTTCACGTGCCCTACCGAGATCTTCATCGATGGCAGTTGTCTGGAACCCACGAACCCTCTTCTGGCCCGAGCGGGCTGGACGGCTGTTGAAATCACAGCTGGAGGCGACCTGAAACGTGCGGTCCGAGGTCCCCTTCCCAGGAAGTACCCTCAAAACGCTGCCTGGGCAGAACGTCACGGGCTCTTCCAGGGACTACGCCACCTGTGGCAAGATCCTGCTAGATTCGATGAAGAGGCAGATATTTTTGCAGACTGTCAGGCCCTGCTCACGGGATGTGCCTTTTCGTTCAGAGCCCTGGACGGCACCTCCCAGCAGGCAGGCCACTGGCGATCCATTCAGAGATTGGATAAGCAGTTTACCATACATAAAGTCAAGGCACACCAGACTCTCCAGCGAGGAGATCGAGAATGGGCAGATCAACTACGAGTAATAGGGAATGCCTGGGCCGATGTCATGTGTCGTGAGGCCGCCCGTGAATATGCCTCCCCCCAGGACGCCGAGGCCTGTAAAGAATCCCTAGATGGTTGGTTTGCTGTGTTTAAAGCAGCGGTGCCGATTTTAGAACTCTGGCCTTCAGCTAGGGAAATGCACGGCACCCTGGAGCGAGAATCGAAGAGTTTAAGGCCACCCCCCCGAAACCATAGGCAGCACAACGTTTTGTGGAATGGCCGTCTGTGGCAGTGCCTCTCGTGCGCCAAGAGCTTCAGAGCACCCCCGTCGCGCACGAATCGGCGTGCTGCACTCCCTCCCACCTTCGGGGCCCTGGTGAGGGGTTGCAACCTCCCCACCCCTGGACACAAGATGTGGGCGTGCAAGGTTGTTTCCTCAGGCATTCCAGTTTTGTACTGCTCGAGGTGCGGGTCGTACTGCACCCGCACTCCCAAGCATCTCCTTGGGCCCTGCGCTAAGATCAAGAAAGCACAGGTTCGCTGTTTTCGCCGAGGCACGTTGCCTTGGCCCAAAGGCACCCGCCTTTCCCGCCCATGGAGAGTTCTCCGCGGTGCTGCCCAGTGGTGGAGGGACCTGGGCGGGGAGTTGGGCGGGGATGGGGATCGTTCAGTCGCTGCGGAGCCCGCAGCCGATTCTGTCGAGTCTGTCCGTCCTGCCGTCGCCGCGCCGCCCCGTGCGAGCGACTTTGAGGAGGAGGAGGAGGCGTCGAGGTTCCTTTTCGGGCCCCAGGCCGACGGCGCCACCTCCCCCCGCGGAGCGAGGGCCACCCTGGCCCATACAGGGGCCAGGGGCCCCCCGCCTTTGGTCCCAGGGCAGGCCTCGGACGACTCTGACTAATCTTTCTCCCGAGGTCAGGCGAGCCTGGATTTGGCTGACCTCTTAATGCCCATGAATGAATGAATGAAGGAGGAGGAGGAGGGAGGAAGGGGATGAAGATGGAGAACATGGAGGGGATGGGATAGGATGGTGGGGAGGGTTGGACGAGGAGGGACATGCGAAAGCGGAGGAACAGTCGCAGAAAACTGATGAACAGCTGGCTGACTGGTGGATTTCATCCAGTTCAAGTTTCGCTCCGCCACCGTATCGCTTCTTCCCTCCCCCCACCTCCCCTGATGATCGCGAGGGCGAGTATCAGGAGGAGGGAGGAGAGCAGGAGGAGGAGAAGGCGAAGGAGGAGGAGGACGAGGACGAGGAGGAGGAGGAGGGGGAGGACGAGGATGATGATGATGCTGAGGATGAGGAGGAGGAGGAGAAGGACGAGCATGAGGACGAACATGATGATGTTGATGTTGATGATGATGCTGATGGTGATGGGATGATGATGCGGATGATGATGATGATGATGATGATGATGATGATGCTGATGATGATGATGATGATGATGATTCTGATGATGATGATGAGGATGATGATGATGATGAGGATGATGATGATGATGCTGATGATGCTGATGATGATGATGGTGAGGATGGTGAGGGTGATGCTGCTGTTGCTGCTGCTGATGATATATGTGATGAGGATGATGATGCTGCTGATGCCGATAATGATGATGATGGTGGCGCTGGTGGTAGCGGTGGTGATGGTGATGATGATGCTGATGCTGATGATGCTGATGCTGATGATGATGCCGATTACGACCGACGAGTATGAGATGATGACGATGATGATGGTGATGACGATCATGAATATGCTGATCATGATGCGCATACGATGGCGATGCTGCTGCTGCTGATGATGATGATGATGATGATTCTTCGGCAACGGGTAATGGCTATGCTGATTATGATGATGGTGCTGCTGCTGATGATGTTGATGTGGATGATGATGATATGATGATGATGATGATGATGATGATGATGATGACGATGCTGGTGCTGACAATGATGATGATGAAGAAGAAGAAGAATCTGATGCTGATGATGATGCTGATGCTGATACTGGTGATGACTAGGATGTGACGACGATGACGATGACGATGCTAATGACGCTGATGATGCTGCCGATGCCGATGATGGTTGTGCTACTGATGATGATGGTGGCGCTTTTGATGGTGCTGCTGACAATTGGAAATATGGATGATCAAGCGTCGATGGTGATGACGATGTTGCTGCTGCTGCTGATGGTGATGACGACGATAACGATGATGATGGTGATGGTGACAATGCTGATGATTATGCTTATGCTGCTGCTTATGGTGATGATGTTGACGAGGACGATGCTGATGATGCTGATGATGATGGTGATGCTGATGCTGCCGACGATTTTGACATTGTTGATGATGATGATGATGATGAAGATGATGATGATGATGATGATGATGATGATGATGATGATGATGATGATGATGATGATGATGACGACGATTCGTATTGTTATGATGCTGATGTTGTAATTGCTGCTGTTGAGTATTATAATTAGTATTAGTATCCCGATGATGGGGATACTGATGATGGTGATGATGATGCTAATGATGATGATGATGATGATGATGATGATGATGATGATGATGATGATGATGATGATGATGATGATGGTGATGCGGATGATGCTGATGCTGATGATGAATAAGGGCGTGAGGAAGAGTAGGCGACGGAGGAGGAGGGGGAGGAGGAGGAGGAACATGTGGAGAGCACGAGGAGGACGACGAAGACGAAAAGGAGGAGGAGGAGGACGAGGCACACGATGAGGAGGAGTATGACGAGGACGAGGACGAGCAGGAGGAGGACGAGAAGGACGACGATGATGATGAGACTGATGATGATGATGATGATGATGATGATGATGATGATGATGATGGTGATGATGATGATGATTATGTTGCTGATGATACTGATGATTATGATGATAATGATGAAGATGATGATGCTGAAGATGCTGATTATGATGATGATGCGGATAAGCATGATGATGCTGCTGCTAATGCTGATGATGTCTATGGTGATGGTGGTGATGCTGCGTATGATGTTTATGATGCTGTCGTTGCTGATGATGATGAGGGTGGTGCTGATTTTGACGATGCTGATGATGCCGATGATATTGAATCTGCTGATGCTGCTGCTGATGCTGTTCATCATGATGTCTATGCTGATGCCGGCGATGATGCTGCTGACGTTGATGGTGATGATGCTGCTATTTCTGGTAGTGAGCGTGCTGGCGATGACGACGACGACGCTGGTATTGATGATGACGATGACGATGGTGATGGTGATGGTGATGCTGATGCTGATGCTGATGATGATACGGCTGATGATGATGGTGATGATGATGACGATGCTGGTGATGACGATTCTGATATGCTGACGATGATGAGCATACGATGGTGATGACGCTGCTGCTGATGATGATCCTTCTGCAACTGATGATGACTATGCTGATTATGATGATGATGATGGTGATGCTGCTGATGATGATGATGTGGATGCTGATGATGTTGATGATGCTGCTGATGCTGATGATGCTGATGATGATGGTGATGCTGCTGATGATGATTAGGATGACGATGACGATGACGATGATGCTGATGACGAAGAAGACTCTGAAGATACTGATGCGGCTTATTATCATGGTGATGATGCTGATGATGACGAACATGATGAGGATGATGATTGTGATGATGATGCTACTCATGACGATGCTGGTGATGATGATGATGATGATGCCGATGGATGATGATTATGATGATGATGATGATGATGAT